CATAGCACTCCCATCCATACTAAAAACATTACTTCTCATATTTCCACCCATCGTATTCCCATCCATCGTATCCCTATCCATAGTATTCCTATCCAACGTATTTCCATTCTCACTTCCATTCCCATCAATACCCAAATCTCTAATCCCTCCCACGACCAAATCCATTTCAAGACTCTTATCACCACTAAAAGTTCTTACGCCGAAACCTCTTCCCCTTCTAGAAGGTTGACCTAGTGTAGCTAATAATTCCGGTTCTTCTTCTGAGGAAATGAGAACTTCTTTTTCATGAGCATTTTGATAATCTTGTTCAGCTTGTTGATACTCCTGCGGATATTCCTGCGGATATTCCCGCGGATATTCATTCGCTAGCTCATGTCTCAATTCCTGATCATGATCGTCTTCGACATCTTTCCCTTTAACGCGTTCGGGACTCACACTCGCGGCTTTGAATCGTCTCCAATATTCCCTCTCTTCTTCTTCGTCATAGGATTCGTCATCTTCATATCCTTCTTCGCTATCCATTGGTTCTTCTTCATGATCCGTTTCCACATGTTTTATATTTCCTAACACACCTGATAATTCATCCTCATCATCCGCTAAATCATCATCGATAACCATAGGGTAACTTCCACTTTGAGGTCTATTTGCCCTCAAACTATGCCCCTCATCTTCACTATCCCATTCATGGATATTCCTCTCACTCATCGGTCTTGAAGTTTTCTTGGCAAGACGCGGAATATCTTTCTCTCTTCTCGTTGAAACCTTAGTCCATATAGGTTTTTCAACATTTGGTAATCCAATTCTCTCACACTTCAACGAATTTGCCATATCAAGGACGCTAATCCACAGTGGACATATATATCCAACACTTTTTCGTTGACTCCACGCAAGTACACTACCTGCAACTCTACCACTATTATTCCCAGGGCCCACACTAATATCATCACCTCGTTCGAGAACCCATGCACCACTATCACCTGGAACACCTATTTTACCTGCGACTTGCCAACTCATAGATGGAGTTTTCCGCCCATAAATTTTAAGAATGGACATAGAAGGAAGAATTCGTCCAGTTTGTGTACCACTAGTTCTAGCTGTACATTTAACAGGTAAATCTGGAAGTTCCGTTAATGGAACTACGCCTGTTGGTTGTGTTGTCAAAGATATTGAGGAAGTAAAATCAGGTAGACGATGTTCTTCAAACTCAAAAAGACACCAATCAATCTCATGAGTGATATCATCATGAGTCAATCGTCTAATTCCTGAACTTGCATAGACATTTCCTAGTAAACATGAATCTAAATGATCCTCATCTCTAGTTTCTGGATCAGGATAGAAATCTGGATCGATGTCATCGATAGCTGGTTGGGTGATTGGATAATTGTGAACATTCGACGAAGAAACTGGAATAGCAGGAATATCTCCTGGTTCTAAAGTTGGAAATTCGGCATCAGAATCATCTTCATCTTCTGATGCATAAGGTGAGGAATCGGAATCAAATGATGAACCTGAAGATGAATAATCTGTGAAGCTATAATTATATTCTTCGTCACCACTAGAGTAGTAGGAGGTCTCTGAATGCGTTAGGTCTGGCATTTCAAGGTATTGAGGAAGTGCTTGAGGACGTGCTGATGATCGAAGAATTGGTTTTGTTGGTTGAAGTGGCTCATCTTCGTCATCATCGGAAGGGTCGTCTAACATATGATGAACAGACATTCCATACGGTTTGTCATCAATCGTGACGAGTCCTCCAAATGATACTGGCGGAAGATGATGATCATTTATATATGCTCCCATACTAGCACCATTCTTGGGACGTTCTTGATGTTGAGTATTCTTCGCTACAAGTTCATCACCATGCGCCATACTCCTTTTGACCCCATTATTTCTTGCTCTTACAACCTTTCCACGACATACTTTTAATCCATATGTAGCTTTATCATAAACAAGACTCTTCTTCAATATGCTTCTAACTTTACTGACACTTGTACAAATGACGAGAATGGTAGGTTTCGTTTTGGTAGATGATTCACCAACTGATTCGAGGGAAATTTCGACCGACTCGGGATATTTCTTGTAAAAACTTCGAAGGACGTGGTTGACATGTGGCATAATATTAGTATGCCAAAAATTGATATGTTCTTGACTAATGCGAATAGCCGGGAATGTCTTGAGCTTAGGTTTTGATTTTATAGGTTCGATTGCTAAGACAAAAATGGTTAGATTGTGACAGTGGTGAAGGGGCTATCAACTCACCAGAGGACTTCTTCTCTGTCCATTCAGCAGTAGCCTTTTGTGGGGTCTTTACACGTATAGGTTTCTCACCCCAATTGATTTCTGGTTCTTGTGGAGCACTAAAATCAATCTTTGCATCCCTTCGATCACGATATCCTTTGGTAGATGAAGATGGGGCTTCAATCTTCAAAGGTGTGGGTACCAGTGATGGCTCATCACTTCTTTCACTATCATCATCCGAAACATCATCGAGTGAACAACAAGTATTAAGTGCTTTTGATACACGCCAGAAGACTTTTTGATGCATAACATCTGGTCTTGCTTTTCGTGAAAGTTCTCCTTCGGGTGCACTTAAACATGCTTTCACCGCTTTGACATAAATATTTCCACATCGAGATGCAAGATGCTTGAGAACATCTGTAGGGTTTGAAGGCACTTGAGATGCTCTTGGGAAAAGTTCCGATAAAGAACTCCAGAGACCAATCTCAAGAAGAATCATGGCAAGACTGTACAAATCCAAAGATTTGCTTTCTTGGGATAGATTAGTATATCTGGTACTCCTCGGGTCGAGTGGATGCTTATACAACATGGTAGCTTGATCCAAACTTGGACCCAAATCTGTAGCAGTATCAGAAAACAAATCATAAGAACCAAGATACGACTGTCGCATATTAATCTGTGTTAAATCAAAGGCCCGTGGTGATGTAGGATGTTCAATGAAAAGGATATTGGAAGGAAGTAAGTTGCCATGAACTATTCCTTTGGAGTGTAAATCAAAGACGGCATTAGCTATATTGTAGGCTAATCTGTACTTGACCTCCAAACTTGGTTCGAATGCTGGACTTATTAGAAGCTCCGACAATGAGTTTATCGTGGGCATTTGTAGGGTGGGACTTTGAATGTCCATGGGTCCAAAATTCGTTGGCAAGGCAAACAATAGACAAAATCTCGAATGCTCGGCATCTTCATAATATCCAATGAGACGAAGTAATCCAACAAGTAATCTGTCAGAAGAGTAATATGCCTGTGAAAGTCCAGCAAAGAGTTTTTCGAATCGAGTCATGGATGGAGTGATTCCGGTAACGGAATATATAGGATCGTAAGGAGCATATTCGACAAGAACAGGTATCGGGTCAGGAGGTTGACCGATGGCTTTTCTTAAATCCGAAGAATTAACAGACCTTCTCATCAAGACTATCTGTCTCAACGTATTGTTCGACGTTGACCTCGATGTACCACGTGTAGCAATTATCTGATTCCCCGTCCAGATTAGAGTTGCTGGATCAATTTGTTGTGGTGCAGACATTCTTGTCGATTCAAATTGTCTTTCCTCAAAACTCGAAGATTGATCTTTTGAGCTTGAAACTTCCGAAGTCTGTAGACCGAGACCACTCCTTGCTGACTGTCTTGTCTTTGATAAATCATAAAGAGTATCAATAGACATGGTTAAATCTCGAATCAAATCCTCAAACCTCGTTTTATCCCATTGAATCAAAGCACTCTTTTCCGATTTTTCTGATGGTCTTTCGTCTGATGTCAACCTTTTGGAAGATTGCCATAATGGTTCAGCCTCAGCTAAAATCTCCTTAATTGTTGACATGACATTTCCGACGATTTCCGATAATCCTGCCTTTGATACTGATTCATCGATATCAGGTGATTGTGAAGGATCCGACCATTCCAACCCCCATGATACCAAACGACTTTGTTGGATGCGTAACTTGCGATGTAATAATTGAAGTTCATGATCTTCGACATTTCTCACAGGTTCTTTGATGAAGTCGTAAATATTCTTGGTGTCAGTATAAATTTTGGTTAATCGCCTTTGAAGAGGTATTGAAGGTGCAGTGTAGTATGGATCCATGATTACTGAGGTGGGAGTGGAGATGGGAGTGAGAGTGGTTGTAGTTGTAGATGTAGATGTAGTTGTAGATGTAGATGTAGTTGTAGATGTAGATGTAGATGTAGATGTAGTTGTAGATGTAGATGTAGTTGTAGATGTAGTTGTAGTTGTAGCTGCTGTGATAGTAGTTGTTGATGTGGTTATAGATATATTTGTTGAGGTAGTAGGTGTTGTGGTTGTGAATGTGGTTCAAATCATAGGCGACAAAAATGACAACAATGCCAGCAATTGCAATAGCAGTGGAGTAGCAACAAATCAAGCTGGGATGAGGATTAAAAGATGATACGAAGAGTAATAAGAATAATAGTAGCAGAAATAAAAGATGTAGTATATGGTAAGATTGTAAGATTCTATGTAGGTATGTATGAATCAAAAATTCATCATCCCAAAAAAAAAGAACAATCAAGTCAAAACAAATTGATAATCGACGGGTCCGATGAATAACTCAAATAATAAGGTTAAACCATGCAATGATTGATTAATCTAAAATGTACTGAGTAAAATCGATCAAGGGTTATCAAGGGTCTCTTTGGTCTCTTTTCTTCCAAAATGTAACCTATGAATCTTGAAGAATTGATAGAATTCGGATGCCTACAGATCCTCGCCTTTCCGAAGATTGTTGCCTGGAATGAAAATGGAAGATGATTGGATGAAATTGATTATGTAAGAAGCATGATCCAAAATGCGGCTAAAAGACACATTTTGGCGACATTGGCTTGCGTTGGTGGGAAAGAAAAGAGAAGAATCCCAGACGGGTGTTTGAGACTGATGTGAGTTATACGACTCATGTGCATGAATGAGAGAGCCAATCAAGAAAGAGATTTGGAATAATTGAGTCAATATATGGTGAATGAATGAAATGATGGGAGATCAAATTTTCCGATTCTTATCTTGGAGTGAGGTCGAGCCTATCTTGGCATTTATTTTGGCATAAGAATAATTGCTTGAGGCTCAGCTTTCACGTGAGCTGATGAGCTGCTTGGTGTAGGGCACCAGAATATTGGCCGTGGCTTGGCTTGGATTGTATTATATGCGTCGGAAGTATGATTTGTCAGTGATGATGATAGCTTTCCCCGGATTTTCATTCGCCGATCCTTTTGTAAGATCTTACTACTTCTTGTTTTGATGTTCTTCTATTATTCCTATTACTTCTCTTCCTCAAGTCCATCCATATATAAAATATATCTTCCTCAGGTACATATCTTGTCGCATTTGAGTTCGCATCCCCTTACCTATGTAATACTTTTCCTCTTCCTGTATTTTTCACATCTATCTACATCCACCTTCTCGTACACACCTCTTTCCACCACAAAAAGCAGTATTTCGAATCTCAAACCCAACACTCTCCTTTATCAAACATCAAAATGCTGAAGCCTAAGGGAGGCAAATAAATACAATTCCAAACCACATGGTCATGCACAATCACTCCAGCTAATATCTTCCATTTCTTCACCTCCTATATAACTATCCTAATAGCCAGGTAAGTAGGTAGCTAGCTACTCGGTAGATATTACTCAAAGCAAATAATCACCTAGCATACAGAATACAATACGTATAAATATTACCAAACCAAAATGATCCGATAGTAGCTACCACATCTCCATCTCCATCTCATCCGCATACAGGCTTTCCCACCGTGTAACAATCGCATGGACTCACCATATTCGGACATGATATCCACTCTACTTTTCCAACCCTATTACCTCCTCACATAGTACACAGTAAGTACATCAGCACTATACATTCATTATACCCATTCCACATCTCATTCCCGCCTCGCCTCGGATTAAAAAGTCGATTCTCCGATATGAAATGTAAGATATAAATGCTGCCTATTCCAAGAATTTTCTCTATATACCCAGCTAGTATTTACGCCGCAAGTCCCAGTTAATGCAGGGAAAGCGCCATAAGCTATGTTGGCTGAAACTTGGGTTGGGTAGGTAGGATAATTATGGAGTACTTGATGATTTTCATTTTGTGTACTTCGTTTTATTATAAGGTTGGCTAGCAGGTATTCTTAATGTCATCGCGTCGTTTGTCCATTCCTGATATAGGTAGTCAGCTTTTCAGATATTGTTCACTATCTTGTGAGATTATTTCATATAAGGTCACATAACAGTACTTAGATATATGGTTATAAGATCCATCAGATATCGCCGTTGTCATTTCATCGTCTGAGTGGCATCTAGAACTACCTACCTATACCTGCCTATACTATATAATCGAGCAGTATCATTTCCCAGCTAGCCAATAATTATAGGAATAAATATCATGACTTAGTTTTTTTTTTTTTTTAGTTTTTTTCAATTAATCAGGCTACAGTTAAAGTTAATTTGCATTCTCACGGATTTCTCGGATCTGATGATTGGATGATTTGATAATATGATGCGCAATCTCACATCTCTCTAATCTTACCTTACCACCAGGAAAACATATGAACATTGAGAACTAGAGTAAATCTATCAATATCAAGCCTACCTGATAGGATCCTCGCATTCAGTAACTAGGTACTGGATATATCATATCAAGCCCTTCATTTTTTGATACACGGATGAAATCAATATAAAGTAGACGAGATGCTTCATTTATCAGATCTACCACATGAATTATTTCTTCTATCGGGCGCAAGATATTTTGTAAGATCTTAGTATGAATAATAAATGATAACTAAAAGCATCCGCTGAGGGCCAGTTGAGGGATAGATATATTTTATAAGATTTTACAAAAACTGAGATTCTTTGGGGAATTATTTTGATTGGTGTGTGCTTATTTATATATATTTTATAAGATTATAAATAGTAATTAATATAAGTTCAAATAACGTGGTTTATCAGCGAGTCGCCACTATCAGCGAGTCGCCACTTTTTCACTTATTCAACCACTTTAAACTTATTTTAATCAACAATTATTGAATCAATTGATTTAAACTATTAAGAATCTAATAATCTAGGGTCTATTATATTATTAGAACAAGTTCTTGAATTGTGACCAGTCTTTCCACATTTACTACAGCATCGATTAGTAGATGATTCCCCATTGGAATTTCCCCTATTTTGACGCTCGTCGCGTCGAATCTGAATATCCACCTCTTGTTGTGATATTATATCTATAGCTTCCTGACCAGTAAGTACTCCTCCTTGATGTAATTGAGTTTTTTTAACGTGTCGACGTTTGCTTAATGCCTCATTTGCCTTCCGAAGCATACGAATCTCTGCACTTAAGAGTGTATTCTCATGAGCTAGTCGTTCTGTACCCTTAGCTAATGCAACTACAGTTTCGAATATAGGTGTAGGAGAGCTTGATTGATGTCGAGCAATTCGAGATTTCACTAAAGTTGATTGTAAAAGAGCTTCAGTTGGATTGTGAGGTGTTTGAGAGACCCAAGAGTTGGCAGATTCCAAAAGGATCGATGGAGGGGTAGGTGTGCGAATTCGAATATCTAATTTCGAAAGCACAGCTTGAGGATCAAATGGTATTAGTCCTGCTCCTCGAAAGCCAGCTTTCATATTCTGAATTGTAATCGATTGTTGATATGCAGCTTTGAAAGCTATAAAGAATTCAACCTTAGAAATATGATTGATATATGCCTTGATAAACTCATCAACTTGACAACTATATGAACGTTTGAGTACGCTAAAACATCCAACATCAAGTGGTTGAGTTAAATGACTTGAATGCGATGGTAACTTTACACATATAATGTCATTTGACTTGCAATATGATTGGAAAGGTATCGATTCATGACTTTCATGCCCATCCAATACTAACATTCGATATTTGCCCTTTCTTCGTTGACTAGTATATTTATCGAAGTGCTTTAACCATTCTAAACCTGTCTCATTATTCGTCCATCCATTAGAAGTAGGTTTAATAGCCCAATCCGCAGGAAAATCGGTTTCGGTATACCAATTGGAAAGATGAACTTGTCCTTGAACTATCAGAAATGGAGGTATAGTTTCACCCTCTCCATTACCACATATAATTGCCGTAGCCCATTCTCGATTGCCTGGTTGTATTGCCTTGTTTCTGCCATTTCTTTCAGAACTAATTACAACCATTCCAGGGCATATTATACCCATCATAAAGCCGGTTTCGTCGAAGTTGTAGAAATCGCAATCTTGAATACCATATTTCGCCCGCATATTCGATACCAATCCAAACCACTCTTCAATAAGCTTGGGATCTTCGCAAAGAGCTCTTTGAAAGTCATAAACACGACTAAAACGCGTCTTTAATTTTGTACAACGCTTTACGAATCGATGAGCCCAGAGCTTTCCAACTCTCTTCGCACCTCTTGATTCGAGAATATAATTCGCCATATCTTCTACACCACTTAATTTAGGTGCAAATCCTCTTTCATCCATATCGATAATATACTGAATAAGCACCTCTTCTTCTTTTTCAGTCAAATTAAGATTATTTGCTCGAGTTTCCATTCTGTGAATTCGACCGCCCATTCTATCTCGTAATGTTGATTGATTGATTGATTAAATTAACGTCTACACTGAGTCTATGACTATCTAAGACGGCTAGGAGCTTTGTAGGCTTCTAACAATAGTAAATGGAGGGTGGCTGGCCTTATTCGACCGTAGCTAATACAGGTTGGGGAGATTGAAAGCCTCAATCTTCTAATGTTTGAATGGGGGAAGTGAAAACTAATACTAGGGAACCAAGCCCGCCTTACAGATACTGTTGACCTCCTGGGATCTTGGCAGCATATGCATATATAGTACATATGCATATAAGGAGCAAACAAAACTCAACTTTTAATTCATTCTTTCCTTTTTGGTATACTGTTTGTTTGCTTTCAATATTTTGATTTCAAAGCACTTTAATTCCGAAGGCTGAATACCCAACCTATTCCTTCATTTTTTTGAATATATACTCGCAGCTTAACTGCTTAGCTAGAGAATCAATCAATTCAATCTGATACTCTTTCTAGTCTCAAGAAACCCAACAGT